AATTTGATATTTTAAATTATAAATAAAAATAATTATTAATTATTAGATATCAATTATTAGTTATTAATTATATTGAAAAAGCTAATCCAAACAACCTCTCAAAATTTAATTATGATCGAATTCGAGTATTGCTTGTAAGCCAATCCCCTGTAAATTATATTTTGCATTTTATTTGGTTTTCAAAATATAAAAAATATATTTTTTTAATTATTTGTTATTTAATCTATTAAATTTGTTCATATAAGTTCAAGATGACGTTAAAACGCAAATCATCTATATTAACCTCTCTATTATACCATAAAACTCAATATTAAAATTAATTGAATTTGAGCTCAAACATAAATTTGAATATTTTGTTTGATGAGTTGAGGTCAAGCAAAGTACAAATTCTACTTTTTTTTTGGATGAGTCCAATTTGAGCTTGAAAAGTAAAGCTCGACAAAATTCTTGAACAAGTCATGCCTAAGTCTGATTGTTTATGAGCTTCACTCGGCTAGTTTTGACCGATGAACGTTTGTTTGGTTTAGAAACTTAATTTATAAGTTTTTAAAAATTTATGGGTGTAACATATTTATCTTAAACTTGCAGGACTTTGAGGCAATTTGTGAACCTATCATCAAATCCTTGGTTAGTAGGTTTAATAATTTGTTATTCTAAAGAGAAGCACATAATAATAACCTAATTTTTATTACTACAAGTAACAACTTTAACAACTTCCTTTTATGGGTTTCAATAGGACCACCATGACCAAATTATATGGTAGTACAACAATTGTCTTGTCATTTTCTCTTGTTCTCTCATTGATTCAAAATGTCCAAAGTGGTCGCACTTCTCTTTATAAAAATGTTTTTCTTTTGTATTTCAATTCGTCTCCTTTGTTGCCTATGAGGCCTTTGCTAAGGATACAGATGTTGAGGCCTAACAACTCCCGTGCATGAGGGATTTCCAGCATCCCTTTTTTCTGTTTTTAATATTCATGTGCATTATTTTTATGTTATCAAATCTGCACTTGTATTAACTTGGTGTAGGCACATAAAAAATTCATATTCCCTATTTTATGTAAATTTAATAAAATTATACAGTTTAATTTTTGAGAGAGTGATTAATTTTGTTGATGTAACAAGTTTTGGTCTTGTTTCTTGAGGAATGACTTTCAGTAGCCAAACAACTAGTTGAGGTTTAGCCAAAGGTTATATTATGTTTTGTTTATACAGAAAAATGGTTAGAGAAGATAACGACTAGTTAGCGGCATAAATTTTTTTTTTTTTTTGAACCTTCAGAAAATTAGTTAGTGGCATAATGACACACCATAGTACATCTCATTTTTATATGGTAAGAGAAGATAAGAATTAATAGTGACATAATAAGGTTAAAAGAATATTCCAAATCCACATTACCTAACATTATAATCAAGGGTTAAAAAACAATGAGGAGTTCATTGGGCAAAAAAGAAAGAGAGAAAGAGATAGGTTCTCCTCATCTTTCTCAATCAGACAAAGTAGTTAATAAAACTAAAAACATAGAGCCCATATTAGTATAATAAAAATAATGATCGGTTAGTTGCGTTGGAGGTAAAATAACAGTAATTGGTACATATTTAATACATTGGTGGGCGGATTTGCGAAAGATCAATTATTCTTT